TCGACTGCCTCCCCTGTTCCCTCGGTTCGTTCAAGAGCCTCAGCCAAGCCATCCTCCCTCGCCACTTTCTCCGCGCGTCGGGGACACACTGGACATCGTCGCCCATCCTCCTTGCGTTGGGGAACGCGTCGCCGCCGTCGTTTCATGCGCATGACCGGAGATGCAGACGCCGGCGTTGTTTCTCCACAGTCCACACAGCAAGGAACCGATGCCCTCGTCTTCCAACTGCAGTAGTTCAGCAGGTCCTATTCTGCTCTCCCGCATCTGTATTTGTACTCTGTCAAGTAATATTCCCCATGTCCTCGCCCATCTTTGTTTTTCCTTGCCGGCCGCATCTTACAAGCTACAACACCAATGGACCACATCCTCATTGAGGCCTGTCCCTGCATGCGTAGCTGCATATGCTGATTTCAAACCTACTAAGATTTCCTATTTTAGCGCGCATCACTGAAGGGGACAGTTTAACTGACCCACAAGTTTCTTGTTGAAATAAATGTGGGATTCTTCTACCCAAACGTTGAACAAGAGATGATTTCTGCAGAGAGAGAAGTTGAGAACGTGCAAGGTATTTTGCTTAGTGTGGACCGCTGCTTTCTCTCTCTCTCTCTCTCTGTGTTTGTAAATATTGTGCTCATGTGTTTGTATATCATGCAGGTTTGCAAAGGATATGACCATAATTTCGTGATCAACCAAAAAGGCATCTATTCCTCATCCCTTGATCTCCCAGCTAGAGTTGAGGTAACCAATTCTTAGTTGTTACTTCACGATGGTTCTAATTCACTTACATTCAACCTTGATCTGTTATGGGTTCCGGTTTAATTAAGAACATGTGGCAGGTCGGCAGCAACATCGGCTGTATTACCTTGCCAGCCAAGGTAGCACCGTAGCAGTATAAGTGGAAAAGTAGTATAGTAAATCATGTACTGTAGAAAGTGGTCAGCAGTGACGTAATTTAGAATATGACGTGTGTGCTTATGTCAAGTAGCTACTAGGTCAGTTCAGTTAGCTATAACCGGTTGTAATCAGACCATTCCACTTTCAATACAAATATTCAGCTCAAGTAGTACTCCAACTCTAGTCTCTGGTGTGTGTGCGTTGCACTAGTCTGTGGACATAGCTAGTGTGCAGTCGCTGGTTACAGTTTTCCTCTGCTAGATTGTACTCCAAGAGAGAGCTAGCTACTTGTAGTTTAAGCTAACACTTTTTACTCAACACTCATTTCTTGTGATGCATTACATTTTAATTTTCTTGCAGCTATGTGTGTGCATCAACCGTTACTGATTTTGTTGCTGCTTGTGGCCCGAGTCTTATCTCTGCTTGGGGTGGAGCTGCAAGATCGGACGGAAACCAGCCTTCTTATGGTAGGATCAGTCTCGTATGTTCTTTCCCCCACAGCTAATCAATTATTTTGTGATGTCCTGTCTTGTATACTAATTATGGCATGCTCTTGTCTATACTAATTAGATCACGCATTCCTTCAAGGTGAAGTCAGGGGCTCAGGGTAGACAGTTCATAGTTTTCTTGCTCTTTCCCCTTTCTGTTTGTTAGTTCATTATGCACGTCTTTTTCTATGCATGTGTTGATAACTCCAGTTGTTCCAATCTGATGATGCTTTTTTTCGTTGTGCTGCTTCTGCAAGTTGTGAGAATTTTATTCATGGATCAGGAAATTCTAATGTGTGACTTTGTAGTACTCAGGTAACAACGACATTTTGTCTAATGTATATTATTTACAGATTTTTTGATTTGTTGGCACTAATAAGATTTCTCCTAATACACCATAGCAAGCATGACTAATAAGTCGTCCCAAGAATCGGTAGTACAGGAGTGATGTGACCCAAAGCTAACTAGTGCAGAGACCATTGGAAAATGGAAATATTCAATTATGTATAGTTGGTATAACTGGTTACCTAGAATACTTATCATTTAGCCGGTTGCTGAATTCATCTCACTATTACTATAATATATTTTTTGGAGATAATTTTTTGTAGTAAATACAAGCTGATGATTGTTCACAATGAATAGCCATCCGATTGGTCAAAGGTACTCGGTGTTTCAATACGTAGTTTTTTATCTTAACGAGCCATAGTTATTCAGAACACGTGCACGACAATTAAGAGAAATATAATGGCCTCAGTTTACAAAGTAAGGGTGAAGACTCAAAGTCCCTCTGTTTGTACTACATAGCATGGCAATGACCCTTTCGCTAGTGTGTATTTTTATTATTTCTTTACAGAGCGATGCTATAGATGATGCAAGTATCTGCACTTTGCACTTCTGCATTTTGGTCTTTTTTATAGAAAATGGATTGGAACAATAAAACTATATAATGATAGTTCATATAATATTGAATTGACGCGAGATGCAAAAAAAAAAACAATTAGTACACGGATATAGGTCGCATAATCTACAATGTTGTTTAATAATTGTTGTAGATGTTTTTACAATCAGATTATTAATTAGCCTAGGGGTGGCTTTTGAACCGAAAACCGAAAAACCAAACCGAACTGAACCATATTAACCAATTTATCTATTAATTCGGTGATTTGATTTTTTGTTCGGTGGGAAATTTTAAGGTTGTTTGGTGTTTGGTTTTTGTTCGGTTTCCAGTGTCCAAAAACCGAATACACCGAAAAAACCGATATGTACGATACCCCATGCAATACCTTGTTTTCGAAAGTGCAGCGGGGGCGCGTCCTCTGGCAAATACTTGTTGGTTGTGGCAGACGTCAGGCCAGCCGCTAGATGAGTTTCTAATCTCACAATCTAACTAGTACTCGTAGGAGTATGTATGCATGCCAGGCGCTTGGTTATGGAAGTAACTAGCAATTAGTGTATCAATTAGTGCATGAGTTGCTTAGTTTACACGCATCACACATATTCTTCCGTACATAATACATGTAACGCCCCATGTGATTTTACACTTAGTTATGTTCACTAGTTTGCTTGACTGAATAAAGCACAGACTGATGTTAAGGTTGCTAGCTCTTGTGATATATACTGATGAGTGCATGTATTTTGGTTTTTCGGTTAACCGAATAAACCGAACCGATATATTATGGTTAATATGGTTCGGTTTCTAAATATTGTGTGATTAATTCGGTTTCCATTTCTTCAAAACCGAAATTATAAAACACCGAATAAACCGAACCGTATTAATCATATAAACCGAATGCCCAGCCCTATTAGCCCACCTCTGTGTACAAATCTTAGTCTTGGTAAAAAAACATTTGTACAGTGCTCCTTTAAATTTTACTTCTCTATTAACCTGATTTTCTTTACTGTAATTGCTCATCTCCTATTGTTATTTTGTAGATTACCAAGATAAATTGAGGATGCATGACTCAGATTTTGATTGAAAGGCTAAGAAGATTTTGTTTCCAAGGCAAACAGTTGGGCTACTACAAGACAACTAGAATGTAACTTTAAGTATCAATGTTTCAAACATTATAGTTTGACTGTGTTCTTTGTAATGCCACATATATGATTTAATATATGAGACTTGTTTGTTTATTATATTGTTTGTTGATTGCAAGGTCAAGAATTGGCTTACTACTAGATAGTTTCACCTCTTGTAATTTTTGGACCATGTTCTTTGTAATACCACATATTTGATTTAATACATGAGACTTGGTTGTTTATTATATTGTGGGTCATATGCACTATCGGCGTTGACCTAATAATTTTTGATGCAATATATGAAAATCATTAATTGTTCGTGCTATCTAGAGAAGCTTCTAGAATCCTTTTGTGCAGTGTCATCACAAACGCATATGAAGTGTTGTTGGGCCCTAGCTTTATATGTTGCTACCTAACAACGCTTCTACATGCTGTTTACCAACGCATGTATATATGTTGTTGTAGATCCTTCCAACGCCACCAACGGCAACGCATACTAATACGTTGGTGTAGACCCTAGCAACATATATATGGGCATACGACAACGCATTGATGCGTTGCTAAAGGGGGGTTCCTGTTGTAGTGGCGGTAGCCCTTTGTGCCATTGTCGAGGTAGCTGAGAGGGTAGGGTGGTTTAGTCATGATCAAGGTAGCCGTGCAAGGGATACCGTGATCGATGTCGAGTCGGGGATGGTCGGTGTCGAGGTAGTCACCGTGGAGATGCGGGCGCAAGGAAGCACCATGTAGTCAGGGGCGCAGTTGTGTGCCACGAAGAAGATGGTATTGACGAGACGCCACACCGGGTTGCCTAGCCTAGGGATACGTTGTGGACGAAGGCACGTGTCAGTGTTGGCAGCACAGGGCATGCGTAGACGGGAAGAAGTCGGTGTTGACGAGGCGCCGCATCAGGTTTGCCAAGCCCCGGGACACGTCGTGGACGAAGGCACACATCGGTAGTTGCCAGCTCCGGGCATGCGTAGACGGGACCAGCACAAGTTGTACGCCATGTTGGAGGGACCAACAGAGGAGGAGTCGACGACGGTTGCGGCGCCAATCGGCGGGGTAGAATGTGCCGATGTCGTTCTCGGTTGTCGGAATAAATGAAGTGGTCGGGGAAGATGACGACGACGCTGACGATGAGTTGGTGCTGGACGAAGACGAAGAGGTAGTCGGCGGAACCAGAGGCTGTCTGTGGAGGCAGCCCTAAATAATCATGATACTCAACAGTTCTAAAGGAAATTTGTGAGCGGAAACATGTATGAGTAAATCCTTGCAAGAAAAATCAGTAGCCTTGAAAAACAAGCCGTAGTTGTGGAATGACTTCTGAATTCATATATTCCTCAAAAGAATATTCTGATTTCATACATAGTTTCCCACAGGAAATATATTCGAGGAAAGAAAAAATGGTTTGTTATAGTCTAGTACAGTAGTCTCTGTGAGTATACAGTTAACTAAAGTATTATGGAGAGAAGCAATCACTGGATAACCATGTCCGTTGATTAATCATCCGGTCACACGAGCTTTTTGTTCGATATATCACACTGTGGCATTCATATCAGATAATCAGTGGCATCGAGTTGAAACTGCATCGCCAACAGTAATTTAGCTGTGCGCCTTATCCAGAGTTCTCTTGAGATCAAGAAGTTTTGACCACGTTTGGCTGTAACGCTTCTTCTGGTTACCAGCACCTGCAAATTCACAAGATGAACAACTGTTACAGCGATGTACAGTAAAAGCAACCAATCCAATGTACTAGTTGTTGCAGCTCGTCTTAGTCCTTACGTTTCCACACGACAGGAGACTTCTCACACGCCTCCGAACATGAACTCTGAATGATGACAATCAGTAAGAGGTTTGTTTGTCGACAATCGACAGTTCGACATGACATGCTGCAAGTGCATACCTTGGCTGACGCTGTTAGTCGTATTGTCTCTTGGATTGACGAGTCGATATCGATTTCTGTTCCTGGCTTCACATACATGACCTGCTCTAAAAGAAATAAACGTAATGGTTACGGTAAATTACATATAGCATCAGAGCTAGGTAAATCATATCACGTACTGACGGATCGCTGTCTCCGATTTCAGGCAACCCGCTCTGGTCTTTCCTGGAGGAAGACAGCACCGTAATGTCGAACTGCTCATCAATCTGCAACGGGGTCCCAGGATCTAATGCTTTCAGTTAACTTGAACAGTTTCCAAATGTGCCATCTTTTCTCTGAACATGGAATTTTTTACAGCTGATCAGCAGTGTGGTGTACCTTTGTGCAGTATGGGGCGGAGCAGGAATCGCATATTTTGGTGAGCGATGTGACCACTCGCCCTTTGATCGACATTCCGAACTGGGTGTGCTGAAAGCAGACGAACATCTCACAGCTATCAGTCAGCTGCTCACTTGCTCGGTGCATATTTTCTCTGTCAGTTACCTGCTGGACTAGAAGGTGCACCAGGACGTCGGCGTCGCTCTGCCCCTCCTCGATCAGGTCGTCCAGCCTCAGCTGCCGGAGCGTCAGCTCGAAGTCGCTGCTCCACTGATCCCCTCCGCCGCGCGACGTCCCGACGGACACCAGGCTCTGCCGCGCGCCGGGCCCCCTCCGGCGGCTCCTCCTGAGGCTCTGGATCGAAGCAGATGATGCGGTGAGCAGCTCATGGACATTCAAACTCAAACTGCTACCCACGAGTTATCCAAGCACTGGCTACCAGTAGATCAGCAATTCACCTGTGTAACCTGGACCCTTTTCGGTGACTCGGCGGGGTAATCATCCTCGGTTGGGAGCTGCGCGTGAACGGCGAGGCTTCTGCATCTTCCGTGGCTCCTGCTGCCCGCCAGCTGTGCTGTGATCGGATACGGCAGCAGCCTCACCGCGGGGCTGCACTTGCAGGCTCTCGCCATTGTTGTCGAGCTGAGAGCAGAGCTTCGGCCGGCTGTGCTAGCTGCATGCGTACCGTAGCAAACGGAGTCATGGGGATACGATTGCCTTATCCTCTTGCAACTCCCTGGCGTTACTGATGTGTGGTACTGGTGCATGGTGCGTTTACGTACGTGACCGGTGCTGACTGAGCCACACCCTGCTCTCCGGACCGATAAACGCCACGCCTGGCCGTGGATGAGCTTGACCCAGCTCAAGCTCGACGGCAGGTTTTGGAAGAGGTTCAAAGCCCCCATGATTGCATGATGATATGGTCAATCCGGCTCTGAGCATCCACCAGGACATGTCGTTCAAATGGTGGGGGGCACGGAATGCACGGTCAGGAGAGTCAGGGCCCGTCTCTGCTCCGGTTCCTGACCATTCACGAACAAATGCCGTCGAGACAGGAGGGAGCTAGCGGGATATACAATCCGGATCCCAGCTTCCATGCCTGCAAACACATGGGAAACGCACGCAGCTTCATCGTCGTATCAGTTCAGTGGGCATCGTCTGCTCACATCACCATTCCAAAGCTCCGCACTACCAGCCGACTCTGCTTTTGGTATCTTCGAATCGTTGACGCTCGCTTACTCTCGATCGGATTCCATGTCTTCCTTTCTACTTTTCGGCCTTCAGACGTACCGCTAGATCATCACTTTTCTGGCGTGTGCAGCAGACTGCCCGTATCGTGGAAATCCACTCATCCGAAGGGCAGGCATTTCCACGTGAGAGCAATCTATAAGGGATCGGCTATAGGTCAGTCGGTTCAAAATGAATTTTCGGTCAGTTGATTGACCCCAAAATCGTTTCAGCCAAGCATATAGAGATTGGATAGAAACTCGTTTCAGAAAAATAATAATCAAATAATAAAAAAATTCGCCCATATTTTACACAGAAATTGGGCCTTTTATAATATACACAAAAATAAGCATATAATAATGAAAAATTGCACACAGTTCGCACCTAAATTGCGCTTTTTCATAGTATGCAAAAACAAACATTGGTACTACCATTTAAAAGATCAAATAATGGAGTTTTCTAGAAAAGAATGAATTAGTGGTTTTTGTATCACCATTTAAGAAGAAATAAAAATAAAAAAATAAGTTTCTAAGAAAGAATGAATTAATATCATTAGTATTACCGTTTAAGAAAAAATAAAATAAAAAAATAAAACAAATAATGAAAAAATATGCACACAATTTACACAGAACGTGTCTTCTTATCATATGCAAGAATACACACATAATAGAGGAATTTTCAGAAATAAGAAATTTTCGAACAAGGAATGGACTAGTGACATTGCAATTACCATTAAAGAAGAAAGAAAATGGAATAAAAACTAAAACAAAACCAAAATAATGAAATTTTCTAAGAAAGAAAGAAAGAATTAGTGGCTTTGGTATTACCCTTTAAGAAGAAAGGAAAATTAAGAAACCTAAAAAAAATCTAAGGAAGAGTGAATTAGTGGCACTGGTATTGCCCTAGAAGAAGAACGCAGCTGGAAAAAAAAATCTAAACTGAGAAATGACAAAATTTGCACAATACACAAAAAATGTGCTTTTTAAAATATGCAAGAATAAGCATACAACAGTGGAATTTCCACAAAATTTAAGTTTCAAATAAGTAAATAACTAGTGGCATTGGTATTACCCTTAAATAAGAAAGAAAATAAAACAATAACTAAAATAAATCAAAATAATGATTTTACTAAGAAAGTATGAATTAATAGCATTGTTCGTACCGTTTAAGAAAAAACACAAACAATGACGAAATTTACATAATTTATATAGAAAATATGTTTTTTTGTAATGTTCAATACACATATAATAGTAAATTTTCGTAGAAAGAAGTTTCCTAAGAAGAAATGAATTAGTGGCATTGGTATGGCTCCTAAAGGAAGAAAGAAAATGAAATATAAACTAAAATAAAATCGAAATAATAAACTTTTTAATGAAGAATGCATTAGTGGCATTGGCATTACCCTTGAAGAAAAATGATAATAAACAAACCAAATAATGACAATACATACAATTTACATAGAAATTGCACCCTTTTTTCATAGAAAGTGCAAGCATATAATACTGGAATTTTTCTCATAAAGAAGTTTCATAAGAAGGAATGAATTAGTGGCATTGGCAATACTCTTTAAGTAAAAAAGAAAAAGAAATAATAAATTAAAACTAAAATCAAAATGATGAAGTTTTTAAGGAAGAATGAATTAATGGCATTGGTATTACCCTTTAAGAAAAATAAAATTATGAGAAAATATGCAATTTACATAGAAATTGTGTTTTTTAAAATATGCAAGAATAAACATATATAATAGTGAGATTTCGCAAAAGAAAGTTTACTAAGAATGCATGAATTAGTGGCATTGGTATTACCTTAAAGAAGATGGAAAATGAAATAAAATCTAAAATAAAATAAATAGTGAAGTTTTGTAAGAATGGATGAACTAGTGGCATTGTTATTACCCTTTAAGAACAAATGGACTTAAAATAAATACTTAATAAACTTGCACACAACTTTGTATTACAAGTACACTTTTTAAATATGCAAAGAATAAGCATATACTAGTGTAATTTTCACACGCCACGTGTGTACATTTTTACTCATCCAACATGCCAAAAATAACCATGCATATAAAAGAGAAAGCAACTAAAAATAAAAAACAAAAACAAATAGACGCACAAAATAATTAGGCAATGTGTAACGGGCTTCAAGACCAACAGGAAAATTGACTTACCCCAAACAAGGACAAGTCAAAAATTCATCGTAAGAAAAAAATTGACTTATCACGAACAGGAGCAAGTCAAAAATCAGCCTAAGAATCCATGAAACAACACAAGAAAAAAGAAACCCGGCACGGATCTTCATAAAAGAATGAACGGTCAGAAAATTGACTTACCCTTATAGCTAAAGTGTAGATATAATCCCCTTGAAGATTGGCTCGCGGGCGTTGCCACAAAAACCATGTTAAAAAATGCATAAATAGACGCTTGAGCACAACTAAAACTAATGAAACAACAAATGTATGAGTGTACCCGGTTTATCTTTGAAAACAATAAAATCTAGGAATCAGACAAAAAAAATTATTACAAAAAGAGAATAACTTTAATTAAACTTTACGCCATGCCATCTTTCAACAAAAGCGTGAATCATGAACGATTTTTTTTCTCTCCAAGCGACCAACACATATATCACTGTGATCACACAAAAAAGGGCAAAAAAAATAACTTTGGACTCACATGCATGAGTTGACTCTTCGGCAAAATAATATATACATGACTTGATGAATTGGCATGGTTTGCATGGATAGGTTAATCCTAAATAGTAAATTATGAGTGTATGCATGACTTAAAAAAACATGCATGACTTGATGGATGACATGGTCTGCATGGATAAATTAATGCAAAAGAGTGACTTATGAGAACATGCACGACTTATTTTTTTTTTGCGAGGATAAGGGAGTTTTATTAATGAGTAACATTGTTACAACCAATAGGTCATATTTCCTCGATACATGGTGGAGCCGAGGTCAACCACACCGCAGTTGTGCTCTCGGTGCGGCTATAATTGGTCAAACGATCTGCAACTCTATTTTGACTACGAGAAATTTTCTACGGATAAAACTCCCTACCAGACATTAACTCTTTGATCTCACTTATTGATGTTACACAATTTTGTTCAAATGATTTTTAATAATTGAGGCGATGTTCGAAGCACGCATGTGCAAAGAAATCTAGTAGTGAGGCCTAACTATTTGGATATACTCACTCTGTATCAAAATATACAACGTATTTTAGGCTCAGTCTAAGCTAAAAAAGTGGGAAATACACTTTGGTTCCTGGTTGTATCTACTCCTCATATGGGATTTTCTTTACAAAAAAGTCAAAATAGTTCAGAAGTTTTTTTAGAATAAACTTGACTATTCTTTTGCACTAGTATAATAGATTTTTCACGAATAAAAAACCAGTGTTCACTTTAGGGAAAAAAGATAAAAAACTATTTGCTATTTAGGTCACTATTCACATTAGTTTGGCCGAAAATTTGTTTTTTAAAAGAAGTCAAAGGGTTTTATTCTTTGTGGAATGCTTTTCACAAGTACAATGGAAGATCAAGTTTATTTCAAAAATATTTTCAGAATTTTTTAATATTTTATTTAATTACTATTTTTTATATAGTGTGTAGATACACCCAGTAACCAAATGTATGTGTCCTCGAAAACATCTTATATTTTGATACAGAGGGAGTATAGTAGAAGATAACTGGGCTACATGGTTCCAGCTTCAATTGCCTAACTCTTACATATTCAAAGTCCACCTAAAGCTATATGCACACTTTTTTTTGGCGACAAGCTATATGCAAACTTAAACACGAATTCCAATAAAAGTCATAATAAGTTTTTTTTTGGAAAAAATTTCGATCTATTCATAACTGTCAAGATAGTACAAAGGACAACAGAAATAAAAATTACATCTAGGTTTGTAGACCATCTAGCGACAACTAAAAGTATTAGAGCGAGCCAAAGACGCATCATGGTGGGTGAATGAAAAGTTCCGGTCGAATACATTTTAATCAAAATATAACTGAATGAAGCAAACAGGAAGTTCGGCCGGTGTTCAAGTCGTTACCTAACATTGTTGCGGAGTGGTGAACGAAACTGAACAAAATATCGTACCACCTTCCGTCATGTTTTGTTTTCTTCATGCCTTTGCTAGCATATGGCCAAACGTGCCACTTTATAGTTTACATATCCTTTGCCTAGTAGTGCGTACACTACATCCTATTACGCACGTGCCGCGCGCAGCTATCTCAAAACCAATAGGCACGAGTAGTACTATGGCATACTGACATTGACTTAGAAACCTCCAAAACGTGCCATTACATTACGAAGATACTTGGGCACTGCTTTGGCACACCGCAATGAAAAAAGTTGTGAATGCTTGGAGGTTGCCACCAACTTGTATGCAAGAAATAATCT